GTCTTTGTACTGCTCGCCTTTTGGCGTTCTGTGGTCTGACACTGGTGGTGGGACTAGGCCACAAAGAAGGCTGCTGTCTCTGGTGTAGGCCAATCAGTTTCAAAGACAATGGCACGTGTTATGAGACCATGTTTTGTTTGCATGTTCACCACAAGTATGTGTGGTTAATGCAGTAAACTTGATTTCCAGAAAGGGTAAACATACCTATTCTTATATTTTCATACTTTCATACTAGCAAAAAAAGGTCCCATTTCACGTTGCATTGCATTGTTCGCAAGAGTTGTGCTATATAAGCAACGTTTCATTGATTGCTCCTTCTCCAGCACCCCGTCTCAAATGCGCCGATCCTCTTTCGCTCGCTCAGTCTCAGCGCCCACAACTCAACATCCGCACAGGGCACCGGCGAATACCAGGACACCGCGGTCTCGTAGCCACCACACAGTGCATCGTCGCGGCTCTCGAAATATTGAGTGTCCTTTGTTGTTGTTTAACCGAACTTGTTAGAGCCGTAACAGTATTGCGTACGCGGGTACTGTACGCGGTGACTCATCCCGACCCATACAAGTTCTAGCAAGCGAGTCGTATCCCAAGCAAGACGTCGTATCCCAAGACATTTTTTTCTCGTCAAAACTCGACGTATTCCAAAGTGGTTGTATACCGAGGTGTGACTGTAGTTTAATAAAACGTGTTGCTCCCGAAGACAACGTCTGTGACTCAGTTGGACTCGCTACAAATGTCCACATTATGGCGGTGATGATGATGATGATAAGCCCCACTTCGATACTAGTTTTTTTTACCCTTCTATCTGGCAACAAAACTGACACCTTTTTTACAAGGAGTCATGTTTGCATTGACCACAATACCTGCAGCCATAATGCAAACAAAAAACATAACTCTGATATTATATGCACTGTCCTTGAAATTGATTGGTCCACACCCGAGACAGCTTTCCTTAGAGCCTAGTCTCACATGGGTTGGACCAGATGACGCCAAAAGGCGCACAACTCAAAGACAATGCACCATCAGAGTATGAGAGCTCGGGGTTAAGATTTACACCATTGGAACCTCATTTGCCAGTAAAAAATATGATAATTGTTGTTTTTACCCTTCTATCTGGCAACAAAACTTGTTGTGCACCTTTTGGCGTCATCTGGTCCAACACCATGTGAGACTAGGCTCTTAGGAAAGCTGTCTCGGGTGTGGACCAATCAACTTTAAGGACTGCATATATTATCAGAGTTATGTGTTTTTTTTTGCATTATGACTGCAGGTATTGTGGTCTATGCAAACATGACTCCTTGTAAAAAAAAGGTGTCAGTTTTGTTGCCAGATAGAAGGGTAAAAAAAACAATTATCAAATAAATTTTTTACTGGCAAATGAGGTTCCAATGAAGCCCCACTTAGTTGAGCTATCATTTGTGATGGCCAGATCGCTTCTGAAAACAAAGCTACATCGCAGCTCAGTGAGGCTTTATCTGGTAAAATGTTCATTTTAAGTTGAGTATTTCTCGGGTCCTGCACTATTGTTGTTGATTTACTGAAGGATGATGGTGGTGGTGGTGGTTTTGATGATGGGAGGGCGTGCGATGGAATTTGTCCTTTTCGGAGTTGGCGTGGCGACGTTTTGTGAAGTCACGGGGTTATTCTTTTATTTGCCAATCTGCGGTGGCAGGAGGCTCCAGTTGAAAGTCTGAACAGGTAATGCAATTACACTATGAGACCTCCTTTACCAGTGGCAAAATATAGTAGTAGGTTTTTACCCTTTCAACTGGTACAAAAACTGACACCTTTATACAAGGCATCATGTTTGCAATAACCACAACACAGTCGAAATGCAAACAAAAAGAAACAACTCTGATAATGACAATGATATGCACTGTCCTTGAAGTTGATTGGTCCACACCCGAGACAGCTTTTCTTAGAACCTAGTCTCCATTGGTGTTGGACCAGATGACGCCAAAAGGCGTACAACTCAAAGACAGCGCACTATCAGAGTATTGAGAGCTCGGGGTAAGCATTTACACTATGAGACCTCCTTTACCAGTGGCAAAATATAGTAGTAGGTTTTTTTGTACCAGTTGAAAGGGTAAAAACCTACTACTACAGATAATGCAATTTTTATGAGCAAGCGGCTCGTGACGCAAATGCATCTGTGAATAAAGAGCTTCATAGCTCATCAGATTCCTCCATTCTAGATTCTCATTCCGACATGCGATGATGCCGTGCTCGATGGTAAGCCCACCGCTCTGTCTCTGCTTTTGTTTGTCTCCATGCGAGTCTATGGGTCTCTATGTGAGTCTATGGGTCTCTATGTGAGTCTATGGGTCTCTGTGTGAGTCTATGGGTCTCTATGTGAGTCTATGGGTCTCTATGTGAGTCTATGGGTCTCTATGTGAGTTTATGTGTCTCTACGTGAGCCTATGGGTCTCTGTGTGAGTCTATGGGTGTCTATGCGAGTCTATGGGTCTCTATGTGAGTCTATGGGTCTCTATGTGAGTCTATGGGTCTCTATGTGAGTCTATGGGTCTCTATGTGAGTCTATGGGTCTCTATGTGAGTCTATGGGTCTCTATGTGAGTCTATGGGTCTCTATGTGAGTTTATGTGTCTCTACGTGAGCCTATGGGTCTCTATGTGAGTCTATGGGTGTCTATGCGAGTCTATGGGTCTCTGTGTGAGTCTCTGTGTGAGTCTATGGGTGTCTAAGCAAGTCTATGAGTCTCTGTGTGAGTCTCTGGGTCTCTGTGTGAGTCTATGAGTCTCTGTGTGAGTCTATGAGTCTATGTGTGAGTCTATGAGTCTCTGTGTGAGTCTATGAGTCTCTGTGTGAGTCTATGGGTGTCTAAGTAAGTCTATGAGTCTCTGTGTGAGTCTCTGGGTCTCTGTGTGAGTCTATGAGTCTCTGTGTGAGTCTATGACTCTCTGTGTGAGTCTATGGGTGTCTAAGTAAGTCTATGGGTCTCTGTGTGAGTCTCTGGGTCTCTGTGTGAGTCTATGAGTCTCTGTGTGAGTCTATGACTCTCTGTGTGAGTCTATGGGTGTCTAAGTAAGTCTATGAGTCTCTGTGTGAGTCTCTGGGTCTCTGTGTGAGTCTATGAGTCTCTGTGTGAGTCTATGGGTGTCTAAGTAAGTCTATGAGTCTCTGTGTGAGTCTCTGGGTCTCTGTGTGAGTCTATGAGTCTATGTGTGAGTCTATGACTCTCTGTGTGAGTCTATGGGTGTCTAAGTAAGTCTATGAGTCTCTGTGTGAGTCTCTGGGTCTCTGTGTGAGTCTATGAGTCTCTGTGTGAGTCTATGAGTCTCTGTGTGAGTCTATGGGTGTCTAAGTAAGTCTATGAGTCTCTGTGTGAGTCTCTGGGTCTCTGTGTGAGTCTATGAGTCTCTGTGTGAGTCTATGACTCTCTGTGTGAGTCTATGGGTGTCTAAGTAAGTCTATGAGTCTCTGTGTGAGTCTCTGGGTCTCTGTGTGAGTCTATGAGTCTCTGTGTGAGTCTATGACTCTCTGTGTGAGTCTATGGGTGTCTAAGTAAGTCTATGAGTCTCTGTGTGAGTCTCTGGGTCTCTGTGTGAGTCTATGAGTCTCTGTGTGAGTCTATGAGACCCCGGGGTGTAATCGCTGTGGTTGGGGCTGGCACCAAGGTGGCTAACCCAAGGCTCTCAGCGGTGGCGAATCCGCGTCTCTGCGCTCCGAGTCATCCACAGCACAGGAGACGAGACGTCGAGGGCCAATTCACCGCGTGGCCATGGTCTCGCCATCGCGCCGCCCGCTTACCTGGCAAGGTCAAAGTGAAAACAGTTGAGTTGTGTTTGTAGATGTTTTTGCAAGTTGTTTGTTTACTTTTACAATACTTAAATTTCGATTTAAAGCCTTCGTGACTGCAGGGATACATCTTTTTGGTTCTTTCGGTAAAGTCACGTAGAAGGGAAGTAATAAAATAATAAAAATAAAACGTAATAAAATAATTCTCACGACGTTTCGGCCACAACGCAAGCAGCCGTCCTCAGGTGAAGACCAGGTCTGTCGGGGAGACAGCGTCTGAATGAAGCACCACCACGCTTGGAGCGTATATTTAAGCTGGGTTGGAAGGGGGGAAGGGCGCCTTGACAAACAAATTTGCATTTCAAGAGGAATTTAGCATATTTATGGGAAATGCAGATATGTGATTAGTACTATTTGTGAAATGCGTAGGAGGTGGGCGTGGCTCCTGAGAGGTGGGCGTGGCTAGTGAGAGGTGGGCGTGGCTTGTGAGTGGTGGGCGTGGCTAGTGAGAGGTGGGCGTGGCTTGTGAGTGGTGGGCGTGGCTAGTGAGAGGTGGGCGTGGCTCCTGAGAGGTGGGCGTGGCTCATGAGAGGTGGGCGTGGCTCCTGAGTGGTGGGCGTGGCTCATGAGAGGTGGGCGTGGCTCTTGAGTGGTGGGCGTGGCTCCTGAGTGGTGGGCGTGGCTCCTGAGTGGTGGGCGTGGCTCCTGAGTGGTGGGCGTGGCTCCTGAGAGGTGGGCGTGGCTCGTGAGAGGTGGGCGTGGCTCGTGAGAGGTGGGCGTGGCTCGTGAGAGGTGGGCGTGGCTCGTGAGTGGTGGGCGTGGCTAGTAAGAGGTGGGCGTGGCACCTGAGAGGTGGGCGTGGCACCTGAGAGGTGGGCGTGGCTCGTGAGTGGTGGGCGTGGCACCTGAGAGGTGGGCGTGGCACCTGAGAGGTGGGCGTGGCTCGTGAGTGGTGGGCGTGGCACCTGAGAGGTGGGCGTGGCTCGTGGGTGGTGGGCGTGGCTAGTGAGAGGTGGGCGTGGCTCGTGGGAGGCTCCGTGTGGGTGGGGGGGGCTCCTGAGTGGTGGGGGGGGGGCTCCGTGTGGGTGGGGGGGGCTCCGTCTGGGTGGGGGGGGCTCCGTGCGGGTGGGGGGGGCTCCGTGTGGGTGGGGGGGGCTCCGTGTGGGTGGGGGGGGCTCCGAGTGGGTGGGGGGGGCTCCGTGTGGGTGGGGGGGGCGGTATCGGGGCGTGGTGACGTCAGAGCCGGCGTGTCTATAAGAGGCGGCGGGCCGGGCCGGGTGTCAGCAGCGGCTCTCGCGGCTCCGCCTCTTCCTCCCATCAGCAGCAGCCGCCATCAGCAGCAGCAGCAGCGTCATCCTGCTCCTACCTCCTTCCTCCTCGTCGTCGTCGTTCACCTTCGGTGAGGCAGGGGTCGTGGTGGTGGTGGTGGTGGTCTCGTGTGCACACACAGATAAAGGTCCCCCGTATAGCCTTGAACAGATTTGGGGCAAGTGCTGTTAGCGAACACCTATGGGCACTAAACACACACACGGTGCACACACACACACAGATAAAGGTCCCCCGTATAGCCTTGAACAGATTTGGGGCAAGTGCTGTTAGCGAAGAGCACCTGTGCCCGGCCTTCATGGCACGGGATGGGTGGGTGGGTGGCCAGCACCACGCCCGGCCGCCTTTGTCTCCCTTGTGGCGATGTGTACTGCACACCGCGCCAGGCTACTCATCATTTGGGAATCGAACTCGGGTCACCGCAGCGCGCTAACCGCTGCACCACCGCTCCCCCCCCCCCCCATGTCAAATGCTCGCCTGCACACCAAAGACAAAGGTCTCCCCCCCCCCCCCCAGCGTAGCCTTCACGGACTGTTGGGGCAAGTGCTGTCGGCGAGAACCACCTATGCACAACAACAACCGCCGTCCGCTGCTGTGTGGCGGTGACGTCACCACGGCGCGTGTGCCAGGCTAGGTGCACCTGGTCGGTACTCGTTTACGGCTGAGTCGACCTAGAGGGGAGACGGGCTAGAGGGGAGGTCTCCCCACTGAGTGTTGGCCGTGAGGGCGGGAGTCGAACTCGGGTCGCCGGGTTCGTTTAGCGCACGATCGGTGGCGCTCTTCTGTCTTGAGAGAGTTGGGGGGGGAAATTCCACGTTCCTGTGGCGGGTCCAAGACGTACTTCGCGCATTGCTGGAGGCGGTGTGCTCGCTGTCCCACGCCGTCAAATGCTGGCGTCATCACCACCATCATCATCATCATCGTCGTCTTCATCAACCATGCCCAGTCCACTGCTGGTTGGTGGTCTACGTGCCGGCAACGGAGGCGGTGATTTGGGTGCCGTTAAACATTTACAGGCGTGAGATGGGTCGCGGAGTTTGCGTGTGTGTAGGTGTGTGTGTGTAGGTGAGTGTGTGTTTGACTTTGTGTGTGTGGCTTTGTGCGTGTGTAGGTGAGTCTTTGTGTGTGAGTCTCTGTGTGTGTGAGTCTCTCTGTGTGTGGCTCTGTGTGCGGCTCTGTGTGCGTGTGGCTCTGTGTGCGTGTGTGGGTCGGTGTGCGTGTGTGGGTCGGTGTGTGTGTAGGCGAGTCTGTGTGTGTGTGTCTCTCTCTGTGTGTCTGTGTGTGTGTGTCTCTGTGTGTTGGTCTGTGTGTGTAGTGTGTGTGTGTCTCTGATGTGTGTGTGTCTCTGTGTGTGTGTGTCTGTGTGTGTCTCTCTCTGTGTGTTTGTGGCTCTGTGTGTGTGTGTGGCTCTGTGTGTGTGTGTAGTGTGTGTGGCTCTGTGTATGTGTGGCTCTGTGTGTGTGTGTAGGTGAGTCTGTGTGTGTGTGTGTCTCTCTGTGTGTTTGTGGCGCTGTGTGTGTGTGTGTTGCTCTGTGTGTGTAGTGTGTGTGGCTCTGTGTGTGTAGTGTGTGTGGCTCTGTGTGTGTGTGTGGCTCTGTGTGTGTGTAAACAGTGACTGTGTGTTGATGGCTCTGTGTGTGTGTGTAAACAGTGACTGTGTGTGTAGTGTAGGTTTCCAGTTTGTTTTGGTTGACCAGGTGAGTGAAATCTCGAGTGACCGGGCTAGTCGCTTTTCAAGAGAGACCCTCGGTCTGTGTGGGTGTGTACGTGTGTGGGTGTGTACGTGTGTGGGTGTGTATGGGTGTGCCTGTGTGTGGGTGTGTTGTATGGGTATGTGTGTGTGTGTGGGTCGGTGTGGGTGTGTACGTGTGTGTAGGGGTCTGTCTGTGTGTGGGTGTGTTGTATGGGTATGTGTGTGGGTGTGTACGTGTGTTTAGGTCTGTGTGTGTGTTTAGGTCTGTGTGTGTGTAGGTGTTTAGGTCTGTGTGTGTGTGTAGTTCTGTGTAGGTTTGTGTTTGTTGTGGGGAGCGGTGGTGTAGCGGTTAGCGCGCTGCGCTATGATCCCGGCGACACGGGTTCGATTCCCGCTCACGGCCAACACCAGTGACGATTATCTGAACCGGTCCCGGGCCTCCCCCAGGTCGACTCGGCCTCAAATGAGTACCTGGTGTGGTGTGTAAAAATTGCCACTGGGGAGACAAAGGCGGCCGGGCGTAGTGTTGGCCACCCACCCCCTCGTGTACCGTTCCGGCCTTCATAAGTGCTCGCTAACAGCACTTGCCCCTACAGTCTGTTAAGGCTATAGGGGGATCTTTGTCTTTATCTTTGTGTAGGTCAGTGTGTGTGTGTAGGTCAGAGAAGACAACATCGACCTCCCTTATTTACAGGACGCATCGCCCTCGGGTCGTGTGCTGCTCCGCCCTCAATAGTCGCTCGCAACCAACACTTGCCCCAACAGCCCGTGTAGGCTATACGGGGGATCTTTATATGTGTGTGTAGGTCCCGACCTTCATCGGTGCTGCTGCTCAGAGGTCGCAACCGGGTACCCGATACCCGTACCCTACCCGATACCCGTACCCTACCCGATACCCCTACCCGATACCCGATACCCGTACCCTACCCGATACCCAGTTACCCGTACCCGGCCGGGTACGGGTAGCCGTTTGTGACCCTGGTGCGGCCGGGTACGGGTAGACCGTGAGTCATTGGTGAGTAATCGTTTGTCACTTATTTCCCAACGTCTTGTCTCTTCTCACAATTCAAGTTCCTAGAATCAACCCACCCGCGCCTGCAACATGGCTTCATCCCAGAGGTCGCAATCAGGTACCCGATACCCGTACCCTACCCGTACCCGGCCCTGTACGGGTAGGGTACGGCCGGGTACGGGTACCCGTTTGCGACCCTGGTGCGGCCGGGTACGGGTAAGGAATCAAAACCCGTTTGCGACCTCTGCTGCTGCTACTCTCTAACAGCACTTGCCCCTACAGCCTGTTAAAGGCTACACGGGGGACCTTAGTCTTGTGTGTGTTTGTATCGTTATATACCCTTGGAGGTTGCCGCCCTCCAGCAACAGCGGAGAAGCGACGCTCACAACAACGAGCGGAGCGCCGGGCGGCTAAAATGCAGCAAGTTGGCACGGTGGCTTGCACATCTGCCGGTCATCTCATTCAGTGAACCCCATGGCACCACCTGGGTCTGCCCCGTGACCCCACGCCAGCGGCGAGTCTTCACGCGGTGGCCTCAACGTGCACCTAGCCTGGCACAAGCGCCGCTTCGTGGCGAATGGCCGCTGTTGTGTGTGGGTGTCTACGTGTACGCAAGCGCGTTTGGGTCGAGGTGGGAGGAGCGGTGGTGTAGCGGTTAGCGCACTGCGCTACGAACCCGGCGACCCTCAAGGTTCGATTCCCGCTCACGGCCCAACGCCAGTGACCATTGTCTGAACCGATCCTGGGTCTGCTCCCCTAGGTCGACTCGGCCTCAAATGAGCACCTGGTGTGGTGTGTAGTAAACATCGCCACTGGGGAGACAAAGGCGGTTGGGGCTGGCCACCCACCCCCTCGTGTGCTGTGCCTGCCTTTAATAGGTGCTCGCTAACAGCACTGGCCCCTACAGTCTGTATTTGTAGGTTGGTGTGACCATGTATACGTGTGGGTCGGTGTACGTGTGTGTGGGTCATTGCGATTGTGTGTGTCATTGTGTGAGTGTGTGTGCGCGCGTGTGGGTGTGTGTGTGTAGGTCAGTGTGGGTGTGTGTGTAGGTCAGTGTGGGTGTGTGTGTAGGTCAGTGTGGGTGTGTGTGTGTGGAGGTCAGTGTGGGTGTGTAGGTCAGTGTGGGTGTGTGTGTGTGGGTCGGTGTGTGTGTAGGTCATTGTGTGTGTGTGGGTCAGTGTGTGTGTGTGGGTCAGTGTGTGAGTGTGGGTCAGTGTGTGTGTAGGTCATTGTATGTGGGTCAGTGTGTGTGTGAGTGTAGGTCATTGTGTGAGTGTGGGTCAGTGTGTGAGTGTGGGTCAGTGTGTGAGTGTGGGTCAGTGTGTGTGTGTGGGTCAGTGTGTGAGTGTGGGTCAGTGTGTGCGCGTGTTGGTCAGTGTGTAGGTCAGTGTGTGTGTGTAGGTCATTGTGTGTGTGGGTCTAGGTCATTGTGTGAGTGTGGGTCAGTGTGTGTGGGATAGTGTGTGCGCGTGTTGGTCAGTGTGCGCGCATGTTGGTCAGTGTGTAGGTCAGTGTGTGTGTAGGTAGGTCAGTGTGTGTGTGTGTGGGTCAGTGTGTGTTGGTCATTGTGTGTGTAGGTAGGTCAGTGTGTGTGTGTGTAGGTCAGTGTGTGTGTGTGTGTGTAGGTCATTGTGTGTGTGTGTGTAGGTCGGTGTGTAGGTCATTGTGTGTGTGTATGTCAGTGTGTGTGTGTGTGTGTAGATCGGTGTGTGTGTGTAGGTCGGTGAGACAAAATTGCCCTCGCTGATTTACAGGCTGCATCGCCCTCCGGAGTCGCGTGCCGTTCCCGCCTTTGAATAGTCGCTCGCTAACAGCACTTGCCCTAACCGTTTGCTCAGGACATAGGGGGGGGGGGAGATCTGTGTGTGTGTGTGCAAGTCGAGTCTGGTACGTGTGTGTGTATACAATGACCGTCCGTGCAGTGTGCGTGTGTTTTGTAGGCGAGAGAGACGACGCGTAGACGATATTCACCTAATCCCCCGCTCCAGTAGGTCTGCGTGCCGTGCCCCCGGCCTTAATAGGCGCTCGCAGACAACCCGCGTTCTCTGCAAGTCTCAACTGCATCGCATTCCATGTCGCCTCTGCTGCTGCTGCTGTTGTTATTGCTGCCAAACCACAGGGCACCGAGTGGCCTCCCCTGCCCCTGAAACCAGCATTTCTCGTTCCCTGAATTAGTGAGAAACTGGGCACACAATGCCACTAGTCACTCTGCACTACCACTAGTCACTCTGCACTATACCACCAGTCACCCTGCACTACCACCACTAGTCAGCCTGCACTACCACCACTAGTCACTCTGCACTATACCACTAGTCACCCTGCACTACCACTAGTCAGCCTGCACTACCACCACTAGTCAGCCTGC